GCACGGGCGCAGGCGTCCGTGCGATCGATCCGATAAAATCAATGCAACAGTATGTGGAACCCCACGAGGACGAAGTGTTAAAGGAAACGGGGCTGCTGATACCCGTTTCCAGCCACACCAGTGTACACCACCTTCCCTTCCTGCTTATAAAAGAGTCTTTGTTGGCTTCTTTATCTGCTGCAGCTACGCCGGACCGGCGTAACCTTCTGTTCGTGCTCCCTCGCGGCTACACGGCTAATCTTCAACTAAAACTATTCCTAGTTCCTAAATATGCTACTGACCTTCTCCGTCGCCTCTGAACCGCACGCTGGTCACCCATAGACACTTCCAGAGGCTCGAGATCTTTTTAAAAAGTCACAGGTCTGGATATGGGTCGGATACCCCGGCCCACCTCCAAACCACGGGTATCGCCGTCACTTGGTCTTCGTCATCTGTACTTGGTCTTTGTGTCTGCTTCTGTTGGTCTCCGATGTTGTCCTCCTGCTGGTCTTCCCTGTCGTTTTCTGGCTGATAGTCTTTACCGTTGAGCATCGGCCGTTGCCAAGAACCCCAAGCAAAAATCGTTTTGCTTACTGTACTATACATTTTTTTTACGACGGTCGATATATTATCTGTGCTAATATTTTCCAGATCAAAACAAAAACAGCTAGAATTAAAACGAAAAAACCTTCAGTATATTATGCTTTATCACCCATCACCTCTCCTTTTTAATACTATGTGTAGAGCTATACACATGTCCACTCTAAGGTGACTAAAAAAAATAACCCCTGAAACGAGTTGACTGGACATTTTCATTGCTCTAGATTTTTCTGTTTTGATTCTACAGACGATCCCCTCGGCAGTCATAGCGTCGGGAGTCCCCCAATTTATTTGTGTCTAAGGGTATTCCAATCCGTGAATGTACCACTAAAATGGATCCGAGTACCTTTAGCTTGGAGGGTGTCCAACTAACCGAGCAAATTTTGGGGCTTTTCCGAGCACTTTTCCATATGATAGCTTTTTA